TAGATGCTGGAGAGGATGTGGAGAAACGGGAACCCTCTTGCACTGTTGGTGGGAATGCAAATTGGTGCAGCCGCTCTGGAAAGCAGTGTGGAGGTTCCTCAGAAAATTAAAAATAGACCTACCCTATGACCCAGCAATAGCACTGCTAGGAATTTATCCAAGGGATACAGGAGTACTGATGCATAGGGGCACTTGTACCCCAATGTTCATAGCAGCACTCTCAACAATAGCCAAATTATGGAAAGAGCCTAAATGTCCATCAACTGATGAATGGATAAAGAAATTGTGGTGTATATACACTATGGAATACTACGTGGCAATGAGAAAAAATGAAATATGGCCTTTTGTAGCAACGTGGATGGAACTGGAGAGTGTGATGCTAAGTGAAATAAGCCATACAGAGAAAGACAGATACCATATGGTTTCACTCTTATGTGGATCCTGAGAAACTTAACAGGAACCCATGGGGGAGGGGAAGGAAAAAAAAAAAAAGAGGTTAGAGTGGGAGAGAGCCAAAGCATAAGAGACTGTTGAGAACTGAGAGCAAACTGAGGGTTGATGGGGGGTGGGAGGGAGGAGAGGGTGGGTGATGGGTATTGAGGAGGGCACCTTTTGGGATGAGCACTGGGTGTTGTATGGAAACCAATTTGACAATAAATTTCATATATAAATAAAAAAATGAAAAATAAAAAATAAATTAAAAAAATAAATAAATAAATATATTATTTGAATTTTCACAAAAAAAATAAAATAAAAAAAATAAAAACACCATCTAGGAGAGCATTAAAAAATTTAAAAACCTAGAATAAACGTACCAAAACATCCACAAGCCCTCTGTACTGAAATCTGCACTGCTGAAATTCCAGAAAGCCTAAATACAGAGATATACTATAGTCATGAATTGTTAAGATGTATTATTAACTTAATGAGTTCCCCCAAATTGAGCTATAAAGTTAATACCATTTGAATTAAAATTCCAGTCATATTTTGTAAAAAGTTGAAAAGCTGATTCTATTATTTTTATGAAAACGCAAAGAATATAGAATAGCAGTAACATTAAAAAAAAAAAAGAAAGCCAGAGGACTTAAACTGGTTTTAGATTTAGATTTAATATTAAGATATAGCAATCAGAAAACTGTTGTATTGGCATAAGAATATATCAGTGAGGCAGAAAAGAGAATGCAGAAAGACTGCATGTGTATGATTTTTTCATTTTTAGCAAAGAGAAATTCACTGGAAAAAGAGAATTCTTTTCAACAAATAGTGCAGAAATAACTAGCCATAAAAAAAATAAATAAATAAAATAAAATGCTCCTGGATCCCACCTTGTGTCATGTACCCTAATTGACTTAAAGTGGATTCACAGACCTAAACATGAAACCAAAACTATTAAACTTATAGAAAAACACACAGTTTATCTTTGAAAACTTGGAGGAGGTAAGCATCCCTCAGAAAAAAACACATGAAACACTAACTATTATTTTAAATGATAAATTTGACTTTATCAAAATTTAAAAAATGTGCTCTTCAAAGGACATCACATTTGATATGAAAAGGCAAAATATGGACTAAGAGAAAATACCTATGATTCATGTATCTTTTTTTTTTAATTTTTTTTCAACATTTATTTATTTTTGGGACAGAGAGAGACAGAGCATGAACGGGGGAGCGGCAGAGAGAGAGGGAGACACAGAATCGGAAACAGGCTCCAGGCTCTGAGCCATCAGCCCAGAGCCTGACGCGGGCTCGAACTCACGGACCGCGAGATCGTGACCTGGCTGAAGTCGGACGCTTAACAGACTGCGCCACCCAGGTGCCCCTGATTCATGTATCTTGACATAGGACTTTTATCC